GGGATGTTGGCATGATTAATAGAATGTAATTGTCCGTCAATATGCCCCTTTCATTCGCGAACAATATAGTCATTCAAAACGTTATATAAATGGTTAAAATGTACGTGTATAAAAAAAAAATTATGTTCATGTTATGTTAATGAATTTGTTATTATATTGTTGATTTATCTGTATTATTTGATAGAGGTATGTGTGTGTCTGTTTATATATTATGAAAAAGAGAAAGGGAGAAAAGATAGGAAGAAAGAGACAAGGGAGGAGCTAAGAAAATGGCCAAAGAGAGAAAGAAAGAGAAGTAAAAAGTTCTAAAGCCTTCTTTCTTTCCTTTTGAAGAAAAAAAATGTGAGCGTGATCGAGGGATGATAGCACAGATAGTTTACTTACAGTTTCCGACAATGACATGTTATCTTTAGAGTGGGCACTAGTAACAAAGATATTGTTTTGTACAATCTTTGCTAATAATTCACTGTTGGCATGGCATAAAAAATACACCAAAAACAAAAGAAAACAAAAACAAAACAAAAAGCAACCAAACAAACGAAAAACCAAGAGAACAAAACAAAATGAAAGAAAGAAAGGAAGAAAGAAAGAAAAAAAAAAAACCCAGCTTGCATAGTCGGTAATTAAAACTACCGTACATAAAAACCACAAGAAGTCACATCAGATCTCTAGGAAAAGGGGGTGGGGAGGGGGAGAGGCGGAGTCTGTAGATAAAGGACAGTCGATCTTGTAGATTCCCATGTCTGCTTATACGGGGTGCCCACGACGAAGAATGGGATCGCCCGACTCGATCGCCTCAAAAACAAACGTGTCTGTTTTCAGTTTCAGGCGATCGAGTCGGGCGATCGGCCCGATCCAGCTGTAGTGTGCACCCCGTATTAATGCACTCTCGGTGAACAGTTAGTGCATGTTGTATATTGATATTGAGCGCTGTCACGATTCTAGACACGATATTTGGTCACGATTCTTGTCACGATTCTTTCGCGCAATTTTCCTTTTTGCAGTGTAGGCTTAGCATTATAATTGCAATGTTTTTAGTCTTCCATCAAGACAGCTTATAATCAGTGGCGGTGGATAGTGAAGGGCTCACGGGCTTGGGCCCTCTCCCCACCCCCACCCCCACCCCAAACTCTATCCCAAAGCAAATGAAAATAACGAAATGAGCGGTTGATACCGTTATGCTCGCACGCAATGAACACAGCGTGATTGACTAAGCGGCTTGCTCGTTTATCCAATCACTGTTGTTGCCGCTTACAACTATAGTAACCTAACAGCCAATCAAATGGCTTTAGAGCTTAGCAAAGGACGACTCCGTTCCCACGGCTCTTATTAATGAAACCCCTCTTGTAAAAAAGGTAGAAGACTTGAAACAAAATAACACTGCACACAGGGCTTACGCTCTCCTAGCCCTGACAATGGAGTGAAAGTTTACGACACACTTTCCTCCTAGTGACACAGTTTCCTATGCATCCATTGGACTTTGGTTAGGTGCGTTCTACTTTCCACGACTACACGGTCTAATCCAGCTCATAGACGGTTGTGCTTTGCGTGCATGTTTGTGTGTGTGCTGTTGAGTTTAACGGTTATTTAATTTCATCAAAACCAGTTTGAGTCAACGTTTTCATCAGATGAACATTAATTAGAGAAATTTGGAGGTGAAACGGTTTCTTCTTTAAATCCAGAAGAATTTAACATAGAATAAAGAAAAGGAAGACAACGGTGGCTCTTCTCGTTTGAATGGTGCTCAAAATACCGTGGCTCGCCGTGAGTATAGAAAAATCCGGAATGTTTTGTTCTTATTGCTTGCTGTTTGGTGGTAAAGAAGTGGAAGCAACTGAAGCCCCACCCACCTTTTGGTCCACCCACCGCCACTGTCGATAAAATCATAATTTAAGAAGTCGGTGGGCTTCCGAGCCTTCCTGTCAGGGCCAACCCGGGCTGGCTGAAAGGCTTACAACATGAAAGGGAAACATAAGACATACAACATGAAAGGGATACAACATGGAAGGGATACAACATGAAAGGGATACAACATGGAAGGGATACAACATGGAAGGGATACAACATGAAAGGGATACAACATGGAAGGGATACAACATGAAAGACATACAACATGGAAGGGATACAACATGGAAGGGATACAACATGAAAGGGATACAACATGGAAGGGATACAACATGAAAGGGATACAACATGGAAAAGATACAACATGAAAGGGATACAACATCCTAGCAGAAAGACTGTCGAATTACTCAATAAAACGTCACTCCTCTCAGGAATCGAACTCGGGTCTCCCCCCTGCGAAGAACACCGAAGCGCCTTCATTACCACTCACCAAAGATTCTCTTTGACTACATCATAATCACAGACGACAATTTCAGCATGATTTCTCTCGGTGTAGCATTGATTTACTTACTTACTTACTTACTTACTTACTTACTTACCACCCATTACGCCATCTGGCGTTTAGGACAGCAACAAAGGATCTCCAGCTCTGTCTGTTTTGGGCCATCTTGGTCAACGTCCCCCACGAATTATTCCAGGACTTCATTTCAGACTCTAGTCTACTGTGCGTCTCCAGGTCACTTTGGGTCTTCCCCTTTTGCGAAGTCCTTCCGGTGTCCAGTGGAGGGCAGTCTTCACAATAGAGTCTGGTTCTCTTCTCAGAACATGCCCAATCGATTTAGGCTTAATTAATACTTTCTAGATCAACAAAAACTATTCACATAATAATATAATAAAGAAGGTATGAACCAATGTCCATAAGATGGTGAAAAATTGTGAAATGGTATAGGTTTAACGCCCCTATCAACACTATTAGGTTATTTAAGAGCTGGGGCCTCCGAGTTTAACGTCCATCTCCGAAAGGACCGAGCCAAATGGGAAATTCGTGTAAAGTGTCTTTCCCAAGGACACAACGTCGGACCGAGCTGAGGCTCGAACCCACGAACCCGCAACCTCTCCTTAAGATGACATGAACCAATGTCTGTACGTGGTGTAGCAGTTAAGCTCTTCGCTGTCACACGCAGGAGACCCGAGTTCGATTTCCAAGAGGGGAGATGAGTTTCTAATCGAGTACCAAGAGATATTTCTGCTGAAGTAATGTGTACCTCTCGTCCCACGTTATTGGTCCTGGCAGGCAGGGTCGGAAGTCTGCAGCCTAAACGATCTAATTTGTGTCGACGGGGCTGTAAAAAAACACCAACATCAATTACAAAAAACACACACACAAAAACAAGATTATGACGATAATGATAATGCTATTAATAATAATAATAATAATAAT